ACCTTGCACACATGCACACCCGTGCAAACCCGCACACCTTGCACACATGCACACCCGTGCAAACCCGCACACCTTGCACACATGCACACCCGTGCAAACCCCCACACCTTGCACACATGCACACCCGTGCAAACCCCCACACCTTGCACACATGCACACCCGTGCAAACCCGCACACCTTGCACACATGCACACCCGTGCAAACCCCCACACCTTGCACACATGCACACCCGTGCAAACCCCCACACCTTGCACACATGCACACCCGTGCAAACCCCCACACCTTGCACACATGCACACCCGTGCAAACCCCCACACCTTGCACACATGCACACTCGTGCAAACCCCCACACCTTGCACACATGCACACCCGTGCAAACCCCCACACCTTGCACACATGCACACCCGTGCAAACCCCCACACCTTGCACACATGCACACCCGTGCAAACCCCCACACCTTGCACACATGCACACCCGTGCAAACCCCCACACCTTGCACACATGCACACCCGTGCAAACCTGCACACCTTGCACACATGCACACCCGTGCAAACCCCCATACCTTGCACACATGCACACCCGTGCAAACCCCCACACCTTGCACACATGCACACCCGTGGAAACCCCCACACCTTGCACACATGCACACCCGTGGAAACCCCGACACCTTGCACACATGCACACCCGTGCAAACCCCCACACCTTGCACACATGCACACCCGTGCAAACCCCCACATCTTGCACACATGCACACCCGTGCAAACCCCCACACCTTGCACACATGCACACCCGTGCAAAACCCCACACCTTGCACACATGCACACCCGTGCAAACCCCCACACCTTGCACACATGCACACCCGTGCAAACCCCCACACCTTGCACACATGCACACCCGTGCAAACCCGCACACCTTGCACACATGCACACCCGTGCAAACCCCCACACCTTGCAGACATGCACACCCGTGCAAACCCCCACACCTTGCACACATGCACACCCGTGCAAACCCGCACACCTTGCACACATGCACACCGTGCAAACCCCCACACCTTGCACACATGCACACCCGTGCAAACCCCCACACCTTGCACAGATGCACACCCGTGCAAACCCCCACACCTTGCACACATGCACACCCGTGCAAACCCGCACACCTTGCACACATGCACACCCGTGCAAACCCCCACACCTTGCACACATGCACACCCGTACAAACCCGCACACCTTGCACAGATGCACACCCGTGCAAACCCGCACACCTTGCACGCATGCACACCCGTGCAAACCCGCACACCTTGCACACATGCACACCCGTGCAAACCCCCACACCTTGCACACATGCACACCCGTGCAAACCCGCACACCTTGCACACCTGCACACCCGTGCAAACCCGCACACCTTGCACACATGCACACCCGTGCAAACCCCCACACCTTGCACACATGCACACCCGTGCAAACCCCCACACCTTGCACACATGCACACCCGTGCAAATCCCCACACCTTGCACACATGCACACCCGTGCAAACCCGCACACCTTGCACACATGCACACTCGTGCAAACCCGCACACCTTGCACACATGCACACCCGTGCAAACCCGCACACCTTGCACACATGCACACCCGTGCAAACCCCCACACCTTGCACACATGCACACCCGTGCAAACCCCCACACCTTGCACACATGCACACCCGTGCAAACCCCCACACCTTGCACACATGCACACCCGTGCAAACCCCCACACCTTGCACACATGCAGACCCGTGCAAACCCCCATACCTTGCACACATGCATACCCGTGCAAACCCCCATTCCTTGCACACCTGCACACCCGTGGAAACCCCGACACCTTGCACACATGCACACCCGTGCAAACCCCCACACCTTGCACACATGCACACCCGTGCAAACCCCCACACTTTGCACACATGCACACCCGTGCAAACCCCCACACCTTGCACACATGCACACCCGTGCAAACCCCCACACCTTGCACACATGCACACCCGTGCAAACCCCCACACCTTGCACACATGCACACCCGTGCAAACCCCCACATCTTGCACACATGCACATCCGTGCAAACCCCCACACCTTGCACACATGCACACCCGTGGAAACCCCCACACCTTGCACACATGCACACCCGTGGAAACCCCCACACCTTGCACACATGCACACCCGTGCAAACCCCCACACCTTGCACACATGCACACCCGTGCAAACCCCCACACCTTGCACACATGCACACCCGTGCAAACCCCCACACCTTGCACAAATGCACACTTGTGCAAACTCCCACACCTTGCACACATGCACACCTGTGCAAACCCCCACACCTTGCACACATGCACACCCGTGCAAACCCCCACACCTTGCACACATGCACACCCGTGCAAACCCCCACACCTTGCACACATGCACATCATTGCAAACCCGCACACCTTGCACACATGCACACACTTGCACAAGGCCTCTTTCTTGCACACCTTCACACGCTTTCTCACGTCCTCACAACTGTAGGGGCAGCATCCCTCTATCTCCTACCCATCCCATTTACCCCCACCCCTCCCGTCTGCACCCCGTTGCACCCTTCCGCAGCTATGCGACAATGCGCATGCACCTTATTGGCTTTGATGGTTGCAAGACCTCTTTGACCGCCGCGCTGGAGGGACATCCCGTCTCATTCCCACAACCAACATGGGCACCACGCTCTTACGCGTCCACGCGTTCCTGGAAGACGCTTCACCTTCACATGGCATCGGAACAACTCATTGCTGCCATGACATGCATATGACACATACTACTTGGTGTATTATGTAGATCTCAACTCACCCGCCGGTGCTTTTTCATCTCACGAGTCGCATTCCCACCGTACCTTGCACCCAAACCTCTGGCCACCTATCAGGGCACACAGTGCAACCGTGGCTACACATGGCTACTTTATCTGTAGGCTTATTCATCTATCTCCTTGTCGGTTGCACTGCAAGCGTAGACGGGAGGATGTTTTCGAACAAAGGAAGTTCTCAAATAGTAACTGTACAGTCAGAGCGAGTCAAACACACATGTGATTTCACTGGCTATCACTCAAGTGGCTACGCATAAACCCTACAACACCATCACATTCAAAGTCGATCGCTTCGGGCATCAGACTATAGTCGTTGAACCACAACACTTCGTCATACCCACATCGTAGGTAATACACCTCCGTCGATGGCTCTGGGTACAAGGAGGCAATCACTACGTATATGAGCTAGGGAAGCACGACCTGGTCACTGGTGTCCTCTCCCAACAAATTTGAATGCCCCACGTAACAGCAAAAACGGTGGTTCTTCGGCCCCAACTCCGCGTCGTCTACGCCCACGTCAAGGTTTGCGCCACACGCAACTCGTATCACGTTTTCCACTGTACGTTGGGTTGCAAAACGCCCTACAATAGCTTCAAACGGAAAGGATAACTAGCTGGCCGCCCATTTCTGGAGGACATCATGCTGTTTTGGGAAACGCCTTGCAAATTCATTGATCGTCCAGCAGAACGCTCGATTCACAATGATTGGGGGCAGACCGGAGCGAACACGGACCTGTCGAGTCATCCTAGGCAATGGTCTACTCGCCACACTGCTCGTAGACACAACCATTTCCAATGAAGTAGATTCACTCTTCCGCTGAATCCCTTCCTCGGTCTCCTCAAGATCATCTTGTCAAAACATTATAGCTTATTCTTTTGTGTAGGCTGTAGTGGGGTAGCCCATATGGGGTATAACCCAATTAGGGTTAGTACTTGTACCCAACTAATTCATAGTTCATCCATTCTCGTTCACATTTTCTCATGGTATCGAGCAGGTTCCCCTTTGGGAACTGTGCCTAGGGCCCACCACATCGACCTTTTTTTTTTCCTGCCCGAAGCGCACTCCGCCCGAGTCGCACTTCGACGAGCCGCCCTAGCGGCCCTTTCCCCTAGCGGCCCCGCCCCACGTCGCCTCGGCCCCGCCGCCCGTCGCTTCGGTCCCGCCGCCCATCGTCGCGGCCCCGCCGCCCTACCTCGCGGCCCCGCCGCCCTACCTCGCGGCCCCGCCGCCCTACCTCGCGGCCCCGCCGCCCTACCTCGCAGCTTCGTCGCCCTACTTCGCGGCCCCGCCGCCCTACCTCGCGGCCCCGCCGCCCTACCTCGCGGCCCCGTCGCCCTACCTTGCGGCCCCGCCGCCCTACCTCGCGGCCCCGCCGCCCTACCTCTCGGCCCCGCCGCCCTATCTCGCGGCCCCGCCGCCCTACCTCGCGGCCCCGCCGCCCTACCTCGCGGCCCCGTCGCCCTACCTCGCGGCCCCGCCGCCCTGCTCAGCGGCCTTGCCGCCCTTCTGCACCGGCCCCGCCGCCCTACTCCTGCGGACCCGCCGCCCTACTCCTGTGGCCACGCCGCCCTACTCCTGCGGCCCCGCCACCCTACTCCTGCAGCCCCGCCGCCCTACTCCTGCGGCCCCGCCGCCCTACTCCTGCGGCCCCGCCGCCCTACTCCTGCGGCCCCGGCGCCCTACTCCTACGGCCCCGCCGCCCTACGCCCGCGGCCCCGCCGCCCTACTCAGCGGCCCCGACACCGTTCACCAGCGGCCCTGCCGCCCTACACCGCCCGCGCCGCCCGAGCTGCCACAACAGCCCGAGCCGCCCGAGCCGCCCAAGCCGCCCAAGACACCCGAGCCGCCCGAGTCGCCCAAGCCGCCCGAGCCGCCCGAACCGCCCGAGCCGCCCGAGCCGCCTGATCAGCCGAGTCGCCGGTGCGGCGGAGCCGCAGTCGCTACTGAGCCATCCGAGCAGCCGTGTTGCTGTGTTACTGCACTACTGAGCTGCCCGACTTGCCCTGTCTGGTGAGACCAGCGCTTCTGTCACTGCACTGCCCCTGTCCTACAGTTGGTCTCGCTAGTCTACTGCTGTCATGGCTTCCCCTAGTGTTCTCGCTTTTGACGCTGAGGGTCGAGCCATTGACTTTGAGGTTTGGGTAGATGACCCGCAGCTCTTCTTACAGTGCGATAGGGCAGACGGTCTCTCCCTCTTTGACCTCACCTCTGGCGCCTCTCCTGCCCCTGCTGCTGATGCTGACCCCACTGTTCGCTCCCAGTGGGCCACGCGCGATGCTGCTGCACGTCTTGCTGTGCGTCGCCACCTGCCTACCTCTGAGCGCGCGCACTTTAGTCAGTACAAGAGTGCTCACACCTTATACGACGCTGTAGTTGCGCGCTACTCTTCCCCTGCCACTGCTGCACTGAGCCGCCTCATGCTACCGTACCTCTTTCCTGACCTTGCTGCCTTTCCCACAGTCGCTGACCTCGTTACGCACCTCCGCACTAGTGACACTCGCTACCGCGCCGCACTTCCTCCTGAGTTCTGCGCCAAGAATCCCCCCCCCCATGTACATCACTCTCTATTATATAGTCACTCGCCTCCCTGACTCCCTTCGTGTAGTCAGGGACCACTTCCTCTCAGTCTATCCCACCACTCTCACTGTTGACCTCCTAGAGAAGGCCCTCCTAGCAGCGGAGAAGAGCATAGTCGCTGTAGGAGCCTCTCGTGGTGACCCTCGCACCCCCATCTTTGAGGGGTGTTCCCCTTCCCCCCTGTTGCCCTCTGTCGCCTCTACTACTGCGGCCGACCTCGTTGGTCTTGAGTCGGTCGGTACGGCGTCTGCCCCTAGCGGGAGACGCCGCTCTGGCAAGGGCAAGGGGGGCAAGGGCGCGGGTGGGGCTAGCGGGGGTGGTGGAGGTGGCGGTGGGGGCGGAGGGGGGAGTGGGGGTGGCGGTGGGAGTGGTGGCGGGGTTGGAGGTGGCGGTGGCAGCGGCGGAGGCGGAGGCGGCGGTGGCGGTAGCGGTGGGAGCGGAGGCGGCGGTGGCGGCGGAGGTGGAGGCGGCGGTGGTGGAGGAGGTGGAGCTGGTCGGGGTGGTACTTCTCAAAGGAGCGGCTCCGGGAGTGGTCAGCGCCAGCAGCAGCAACAGCGTTCTCGGGACATCCCCCCTCCTCAGCAGCTCCGTGAGTGGTACATGCAGCGTCACCGTGGTGGGGGTTTCGGTCCGTGCACCTACGTCCTTCGCTCCGGCAACCGCGCGGGTGAGCAGTGTGGGGGTGCTCACCCCACCCAGCGCTGCTTTGGCCGCCTGACGGACGCTTGGCGTCAGCAGTTCCCGGAGGCTAGTGAGATCCCCCGCTGGGGAGAGCTGTCTAGGGCAGGCGTAGCTATCTTTGATCTTGACTTTGATGCTATCCTTGCTGCCATGTATTCTGTGACTATTAGTGATGAGGGTGACTGTTACCGGTGTTTCCCGCCCGACCCGGGCATTGGTACTGCTGCTCTAAGTACTGGTGAGGTTGCTGCTCTAGGTGCCACTGCGTCCGCGCCCTCACGTGCTGGTGAGTCTGCGCTCTAAGGTACCACGTCGGCTTCGGCCTCCCTCACCTTCACACTTGACTCAGGGGCTTCTCGCTCCTTCTTTCGAGACCGCACCACACTCACGCCGCTTGGTCGGCCAGTTGCAGTCTCCCTGGCAGACCCCTCTGGGGGTCCTGTCCTCTCTCACTTCTCCACTGTCCTCCCGTGTTCGGCTGCCCCCTCTGGCACCTTGTCTGGTCTTTATCTCCCCTCGTTCTCTACAAACTTGGTGAGTGGTGCTGACCTGCAGGATACGGGGGTTCACCAGTTCACTCCTGCGAGTCAGCGGGTGACCCACTGCACGGATGCTCGGACAGGCCGACACTTGGCCACGTTTATACGTCGGCCGGGGTCGAGCCTGTACACACTGACCACTGAGTCTCCTCTAGTTACTGCGTCTGGTCAGGTAGCTGCGTCGGGTCAGGTGTTTGCTGCAGCGTCCAGGTCTGGTCCTGAGTCTACCCCCTGCTCGTGTCGCCTCATGTCTCACGAGACTCTCCTCTGGCACCACCGTCTTGGTCACCCCTCCCTGCCTCGTCTCCGCGGCATGGCTTCCCGTGTCCTTGTCTCTGGTCTTCCCCGGTCCCTCCCTCCCCTTCCTCCGGGGCCTGGTCCTTCCTGTGTCCCCTGTGTCGAGGGGCGGCTCCGAGCTGCCCCTCACTCCTCTCAGTTTCCCCCGACAGAGGCCCCGCTGCAGACGCTTCACATGGACGTGTGGGGCCTGACCCGCGTCCGTGGACAGGGTCACGAGCGCTACTTCCTGCTGGTGGTTGACGACTACTCGCGTTACACCACAGTCTTCCCCTTGCGCAGCAAGGGTGATGTCGCTGAGGTGTTGATCGACTAGATCCGCGCAGCTCGTCTCAAGCTCAGGAGGAGCTTCGGATCGGACATTCCTGTTCTGCGTCTGCACTCTGACCTAGGCGGAGAGTTCTCCTCTGGCCTTCTGCGAGCCTACTGTCGTGCGCGAGGCATCCGCCAGACCTTTACGCTTCCGGACTCTCCACAGCAAAATGGGATTGCTGGGCGCTGCATTGGCATGGTCATGGACGTCGCTCGTACGTCCATGATGCATGCAGCTGCCCCCCATTTTCTGTGGCCGTTTGCGGTTCAGTACGCGGCGCATGAGATCAACCTTCACCCCAGGGTCTCCAGACCAGAGACCTCCCCAGCTTTGCTGTGGACGGGGAAGGTTGGCCATGCGTCTGCGTTCCGTGTCTGGGGATCTCGGGTGTTTGTCCGCGACTTCTCTGCGGACAAGCTGTCCCCTCGGGCTGCTCCCTGTGTCTTCCTTGGCTTCCCCTATGACGCCTCTGGGTGGCAGTTCTACCACCCCACCTCTCGTCGTGTTCTGTCCTCCCAGGACGTCACGTTCGACGAGTCAGTACCCTACTACCGTCTCTTCCCCTACCGCACTCCTTCCCTCCCCCCGCCACCGCACTTCCTTGTGCCAGGTCCCCCCCCGGTAGACCCCCTCCCCCTTCAGGGTCCTGCCCCTTCAGGTGTGTCCCAGGTAGATGCAGTTGAGCCGGACGAGGTTGGTGGTGACTCTGGTACTGCTGCGGGTGCTGAGCCTGGGGGTGCTGACTCTGGGGGTGCTGCGCACGTGGGTGCTGAGCCTGGGGGTGCTGCGTCTGGGGATGCTGCGACTCGGGGTGCTGAGCCTGAGGGTGCTGAGCCTGGGGGTGCTACGACTTGGGGTGCTGAGCTTGGGGGTGCTACGACTGGGGATGCTGAGCCTGGGGGTCCTTCGCCTGGGGGTGCTGCGTCTGGAGCTGCTGAGCCTGGGGGTGCTGAGTCTGGAGCTACTGAGCCTGGGGGTGCGGAGCCCGCGGCCGCTGGACCTACTCGTGTGGCGTCTGGCGTTGCTGGGCCTGCTGGTTCTCCGGGTGATTTGTGACGGCGGGAGCCACTCTCTCCACAGAAGCTGCGCGAGTGGTTTGCCCGGCGCTGGAGGCGTACTACTGGAGCTGGTGCTTCTTCGGCTGCTGAGGGTGCTGGTGCTGCCGGTCTCGGAGGTGCTAGTCCTGCGAGTGCTACTGGAGTCGGAGCTGCTGAGGGTGTTGGCGCTGAGGATACTGCTGCCAGTTCTGGCGGCGGTCCTGCTGCGGGTGCTACTGGTGCTGCTGGAGGTACTGGAGCTGGAGGTGCTGTTGACGCTGGTGCCGCCGCTGGGGGTACTGGTGCTGTCCCTACCGTGTCTTGAGTCGCCGCGCGGCCTCGGCCGTACTTTGTTCCGCTCCTTCAGCAGGTTCTTGGTCTTCCACCTCCCTTAGGGTGTCCACCGCCTGTCCAGTCGCAGTCGCAGTTACCACCGGTCTCCCCACTGCCTTCTCCTTCTCCGTACAGTGGTCCTATTTGAGGTCTTGCTGAGCGTCGTGAGCCTGCGTCTCGTCCTGCATCGCCTGTTCGTGCTGCTCGCACTAGTGGTCGCAGTTTGCGTCAGCGTCCTCCTCCTGTCCCTAGCACGCACCGGATGTCTCTGCGTCCGTCCACTGCTCCTCTGCGTACCCCTTTGCCCTCTCCTCCTGAGTCCTCTCTTCCTGTGCTTGCCGACCCTGAGTGGGACTCTCTTCGTGCTGCCAGTCCTACTGTCACGCGTCTCCTTGCTACTGTCGTCACTGACCCCTCCTTTGAGTCCACTGCTGCGTCTGCTCTTGTTGCTGAGCTCGTCGACTTTGCTGCTCGCTGTCGTCTAGACTATGCTGCTAGTCTTGTTGCTGAGTCTGCGTCTGTCTGTCTTCCGTCCGTCGGGGGTGAGTGTGCTCTTGGCACGGACGTCCTTGAGGACAAGCAGGAGGAGTTCCAGTGTCTGGCTGCTGCTTCACCTCATCTCGCGTCCGTACTGCTTACCCCTGAGGGAGACCCGGATGCACTTGACATCCTGACTCCGCGCTCTTACGCGGAGGCCGTAGAGGGTCCCTACTCCTCTCAGTGGCAGGAAGCTATGGATGCAGAGATGGCTTCCTGGAAGTCCACAGGCACCTACGTTGACGCGGTTCCCCCTCCTAAGGCGAACATCGTCAGTGGCATGTGGATCTTCAGGGTGAAGCGGCCGCCGGGCTCTCCACCTGTCTTCAAGGCGCGGTACGTGGCTCGTGGCTTCAGTCAGCGGCAGGGAGTTGACTACTTTTAGACCTTCTCTCCCACCCCGAAGATGACCAATCTTCGGGTGCTGCTACACGTAGCAGCTCAGCGTGACTACGAGCTTCACTCCCTTGACTTCAGCACTGCTTTCCTGCAGGGTAGCCTGCACGAGGAGATCTGGTTGCGCCGTCCACCTGGCTTCACAGGGACTTTCCCTCCTGGCACCCAGTGGAGCCTCCGACGGCCAGTCTACGGTCTCCGCCAAGCACCGCGCGAGTGGCACGACACACTGAGGACTACACTTGCGGCTCTTGGGTTTGCTCCCTCTACTGCTGACCCGTCGCTGTTTCTACGCACCGACACCTCTCTGCCCCCGTTCTACATCCTCGTATACGTCGACGACTTGGTCGTTGCCACAGCTGACACTGCTGGACTCGCCCACGTGAAGTCCGAGCTGCAGAAGAGACACACGTGCACAGACCTGGGTGAACTGCGCAGCTACCTTGGCTTGCAGATCACCCGGGACAGAGCACGCCGCACCATTACCCTGACTCAGTCACACATGGTGCAGCAGGTCCTTCAGCGCTTCGGCTTCACGTACTCCTCACCTCAGGCCACTCATCTATCTACTCGCCACTCGCTCTCAGCTCTGCCTTCGGATGAGTCCGTAGAGTCGAGTGGCCCGTACCCAGAGCTTGTTGGCTGCCTCATGTTCCTGATGACCTGCACACGACCTGACCTTGCATACCCTCTTAGCATTCTTGCACGCTATGTTGCTCCTGGGAGACACAGACCAGAGCACATGGCTGCAGCGAAGAGGGTGTTGCGCTACTTGTGCAGTACGTCGGGCATGGGGCTAGTGATTGGAGGGCGGAGTCTAGTGGTCCTCACTGGACACGCGGACGCTTCTTGGGCAGACGACCAGGCTACGCAGCGGTCGTCACAGGGTTACACCTTCAGCCTTGGTTCCGGCTCTGTTTCGTGGCGGGCTACTCACTCGTCTTCTGTTCTCGGCTCCAGTTGTGAGGCTGAGATCTACGCCGGGGCCATGGCTGCACAGGAGCTTCGCTGGCTTACCTACCTGCTGACTGACCTCGGAGAGCCGCCTCGTTCTCCTCCGGTGCTGTACGTAGACAACAAGGCCATGCTAGCCTTGTGTTGGGAGCAGCGCGTCGAGCACAGAACGAAGCACATTGCTCTCCGCTACTTTCTTGCTCGTGAGTTGCAGCAGCGTGGTCAGTTGCGACTTGCGTACGTGGCCTCTGAGGCCAACACTGCTGATGTTTTCACCAAGGCACTTGCGCCTTGTGATCATCAGCGCTTCTGTACTCAGCTTGGTCTTGTGCCTGTCTTGCCTCACTTGCTCACCTCTTGACCTTACTTGTACTGTTACATATATATACACCTGCTCTTGCTTGTCTAGCTTTCTATATTTATGTACTCATGCATGTGAACTGGCCTTGTGGCCTTGAACTTGTGCTTGGAATGTGTGGTGACTTTGTGATCCACCCTGAGCTTGCTTTGCTTTGCTTTGCTTGACTGGTCTTGTGACCGCTTGTTCTCCCCCACTTTGCCTATAGGGGTGTGTCAGAACATTATAGCTTATGCTTTTGTGTAGGCTGTAGTGGGGTAGCCCATAAGGGGTACAACCCAATTAGGGTTAGTACTTGTACCCAACTGTTTCATAGTTCATCCATTCTCGTTCACATTTTCTCACATCTTGTGAAACCATGCGTACCCCTTCCGGCCGGCGACGCATGAGAGCTCTACAGCGTGGCCTCCCCAAAACAGTGATAAGGACAAATGAGCGAGTGCAAAATAGTAACGTGCAGTAAGCGGATATTGTCAAAGGAAAAAGGCGCTGGAGGTGTAGTGAACCAATACCGGAATGGCTTACCTAACAGGCCCGCCAGTTCGGACGCGCTTAGCTGAGCCACTGCCCGTCCCTTGTCGGTGCGACATTTGCTTCCAGCCCTCACACTGGCAAGAGAGAGTTGTAGACTGCCTCGAAAGGGTGGGGAAGGGAGGGAGGTGGGTGAGGGGAACTGGAACATGTGGCGTGCTAGATCATGGAGTGCAAAATGACAGAGAATGGGGCCCGGGCAGTGTGCGGCAGAAGGGAGACAACATTGCAGCCTCAGGGGGACAGGCTCAGATTGGGCATGGGTGCAGGTCAGGGCAGAGAGGAGCCATATAATAAGACAGCCACATGGAACCCCAAGTGTAAAGTGTGGGAATAGGACTTGACACGGATGGGGTTGGCACAGGATAGGGAGGGGGCATGAGGAGTACAGAGATGAAAGAGCGGGGTATTGGGGACATGACAGAGAGTAACGAGAGGGTCTGACAGGGGCAACATATTATTGAGGGGAGAGAGATAAGGGAGGGAGGGTAGGGCAAGGGGTCGAGAGAGGGCAGAGAGGGGAGAGAGGGCATTGAAGGGATAGAGGTCTGGGAGGGGTAGAGGGGGAGGAGAGGTTCGGGAGTTGAGATTTGAGAGGGGAGGAGAGCGAGCAGGGGGGTGAGAAAGGAAAGGCAGAGTAGAGAGGGCAGGGTGGGGCGTGAGGGAAGTCGGAGGAGAGAGGGGATGGAGATGAGAGAAGGAAGAGGGAGGAGAGAGGCAAGGAAGAGATGGCGCGTTGTACCCATTTCCCCCTCTCCCAGAGTGTTGACGTTACACCCCCGGAAGTGGTGCAGGCAAGGCGTGGGGTGCGGATTGGAGATGTTGAGCAGAGAGGTGCGGATTGGCCGTCGCGTACGGTGCAATGAAGGCGAGGGGGGGAATAAACAGGGAGGGGAGATCGGCATACGAGAGGAGAGGGAGGGGAGGGATATAATAAGAGAGAGTGGATTGAGGGATAAAGGGGGAAGAAGGGTGTAAGGTGGAGAGGGTGGAAAGGCAGAGGAAGGGGGGCAAGGCATAGAGGGGATTGGGGGAAGAAGGGTGTAAGGCTGATAGAGGGTAGTCGCTGGAAGGGTGTTCAGGACAGAAAGGGGATTCAGGGAAGGTTTGTGTGGGCACCGATGGAAAAGGGAGAAGAAGGGTGGAAGGCAGAGAGGAGAAAGGGGGGAGATGATGTATGGTAGAGAGAGGAAAGGTGGAACAAGGGGAGTATGGCAGATTGGCGTGCGTAAAGAGGGAAAAAACAAGTTTACGGCAAAAAGATGACAGGGCGGTGAAGAGCGTAAGGCAGAGAGGGGAGGGGGGGGGGAAAGGCAGTAGGGAAGTGAGAGAAGAAGGTGCAGCCGGGAGTAAAGCAGAGAGGCGTAAGGGGGAAGAAGGGTGTAATGATGTGAGGGGATACTGGGGAGATGAGTTTAGGCAGCTAACGGAAAGGGCGACGAAGCGCGAATAGGAGATAGGGAAAGGGTGAAGAAGGATGTAAGCGATCGAGGAGAAATGTCAAACAATGGGAGTTTGGCAGATTGG